CACCGTCTCAAAGATCTCTCTCTCAACCTGATCACGTTCACGATGACACCAACTTGCATCAGCTATCAAATTTTACAAGAATGGCATTGCAATATAACCCATTCAGTGAAGAACGAGCGACTCTCGGTATATCTAAATGTCATACCACTGAATGTCCTTTCTCCCCTCCTCAACGTTCCACTGCGACCTGACGTTGTAAACGAGATCTCTCGGAAGGCGGGTGTCAGCAGGGGCGCGCTCACTCCCAAGCTGTTGGCAACTGGTTATAATTCAGGCTTTACTGAAGAGCCCATCTAATATGTAAGCTATTTAATGGCTCCGTTGTACTTCAAGTTCATTGCGTTTCCATCAGCCCGGATGCGTTTTATAAAAAATAAGTAGGTACATTTTTATATAATGTTGCCCTAAAATGTTGAGCATACTAATAATCTACAAAATTGTTTTTTTCAAATGTAACTCAGCATTCTTGGCAACAAAAACAGCGCTCTTCAACAAAACGTACTTACTCTCTACTAAGTCAAACGATTGATGGAGAATAAACTACAGACGGTCTTGTCACTGTCTGGGTCCCGCTCGGCTTCCAGGCACTCAGCGAAGGTAGTCAGGCGGGAAAGGAGGGACCACTCTCCCCCTGCCTCATTTAGATGTTCAAACAGGAGCTGGCCTGTGTTTGCAAACTCCTTTAGCAGCAGAGTCTGGTCTAGTCAAGACTTGTTGAGCATGCTGTCTTTTTCCATTCTTTTTATTTAATTTTTTTTTTTTTGCTGCTTTTTTGTAATAGGCTCTCACTCCACTCCCTTTACCAGACCCTGTGGCCATAGTGTATGGGCTCAATTTTGCCTTGTTTAAACTTGCTCCTATTTTGGACAATTTCTTTCCCTTGTGGCAGTTACTTTCAGTGGAGTTTATTTTATCCACCCCAAGGACATCCAGCAACATCTAGAGACACTTTGATGGTTACAACTTGGAGTGAGAAAGGGAAGAGGTCCCACAAGCCGCTGGCAGGGTGAGGTCAGGGAGGCTGCCACGTGCCCTGTAACGCACAGGGTCGCCTCCTCCACCCCAAGGAAGAATTCGCAAGACCCAGGTGTCAGTGATACAGACTTGGCGAGCTTCTGCCTCAGGGTTGAATCTAACAACGCAGATACAAAACCGGGCAGAACCTGGCAGGTTGGTGTGACAAGGCAAACGAAAACATGACATTTTGTCTCCCATGTCCTCGACACCTATTTTTATGACCCAGAAATTCTACTCCTAAGTACTTTCACCCTAGACAAATCATTTCTTTTTTCCTCATCCTTCTTCTTGGCACCTTCTGCTCGTTGCCCACTGCCTTGTGTTCTCCCCAAAAGAAAATGTATTCTCAGGACAAAGTGTGATAAGCTTATATAAAAAAAAAGGGACCAATTCTATGGTGCTCTAAGATTTTTTTTTGAAAAAAGCCAGGAGCAAAACATGAGCCCAAAGGTAGAAATCTGGGTATTAGTGATACGTCTAGAGGGGTTTTATTTTGAAGATGTGGGCCTCCTTCTCACAGACAGACGCCAACAAGGGGACTGACCCAGTCTGTAAAATCCATATAAACAACAAAACTCGGGAACCCACAGTCACAGAGCTGATCTTAGGTTCTTCCTCAAACTCCCTGTGTCTAGGACACTCTCCAGAAATTTTAATTAGCAACCAGTGTGTTAACAGCTAAAGTTTTTCTGCCTTCATTTCTTTGACAGCCTCTCCAGTTACTCATAAAGAACCAATATTGTTCTTGTTTAGGATAAAGAACAACTGGGGACAGAAGCAACGTAACTGATGTGTCTTGTATGTTCCAGTTGTTAGCCCACTAATATACACTTTCCCCTGACAGGCATTCCTGCATTTCCTGCTAGTTATTTACAAACTGCCTATGTCAGTCGCTTTTACCTGGCTGCTTCCCTAGTCATCGTCAACAGATCCTGAAACATAGGAAGGATCCAAATGTCTTGCTCATCTTCGCTGCTCAAATAAGAATTGGATGTGGACCTCAGAATCAGGAAGGCACCTTTAGTTCCGTGCCCAGAGTATTCAATCACGGCCAGGAAGGGCTGGGAGGAGAATTTTAAAAGCTCTGACAATTAATAAACAAGAACAAAATCTTGACTAGCAACAGCCATCCAGGATGGATTGCTCTGTTTCACTGATTTTTTTGTTTTTAGTTAAAAAAAAATTCAGCCAGAATATTATTTACATTTTAAGACTTTAGGTGACTTATTTACAGAACAGAAACAGACTTAAAGCCATAGAAAACAAACTTGTGGTTACCGGGGGGGTGGGGGGAGGCGGGGGGGAGGCAGAGGGGGCGTGGGGGTGGAGGGATAAATCGGGAGTTCAGGAATGCAGATACTACTATAAGTAACACAGAGAAACAGCAGGGCCCTGCTGTGTAGCCCAGGGGGCTCTGTTCAATACCTTGTAATGGCCTGTGATGAAGAAGAGGAGGAAAAGAAACACATACAACTGAATCATCATGCTGTACCCCAGAAATTAACACAACGTTGTAAATTGACTATACTTCAATACAAATAAACGAATAAATAAATACATAAATAAAGACTCCAGGTGAAAATTATGTCAAAAAGAATTCAATCAACTAAGCACACTGTCCTTGCCTTTACGTAGATTTCAAGCTAATGGGTACCCCTCCTCCTGTTCATCAAGGCCCCCCAAGACGCAGTAAGAAAAAAATCCCATAATGCCTCTTGAACGCTGCCTGACTTCTCTGTGTGCACAAAGTCACCCTGCAGGTCAGCAACGTGCTCTGTGGCTCATCGGCCACAGTTATCCTTCCGACAGGCCATGAGCAGGCCTGAGCGGAGAGCTCTGTCTCCGCGTCCTCCCCGCGGCTCTGACACGACTTACCCAGGGTCTGACGCAAGGAAGTGCTGCTGAGCGTCAGAAGCACCAGGGGAAGCTGCAACTTTGCAACAAAATGAAAGTAGTGGGCTAGGATCATTCAAAGGTCCACAAGTGACACATGCTGGAGAGGCCGTGGGGAAAAGGGAGCCCTCCTGCACTGCTGGTGGGAATGCAGCTTGGTGCAGCCACTGTGGAAAACAGTGTGGAGAGTCCTCAAAAGACTAGGAATAGACTTATCCTATGACCCAGGAATCCTGCTCCTGGGCATATATCCAGAAGGAATCCTACTTCAAAAAGACACCTGCACCCCAATGTTCATAGCAGCACTATTTACAATAGCCAAGACATGGAAACAGCCTAAATGTCCATCAGCAGATGACTGGATAAAGAAGAAGTGGTATATTTATATGATGGAATATTATTCAGCCATAAAAATGACAACACAATGCCATTTGCAGCAACATGGATGTCCCTGGAGAGTGTCATTCTAAGTGAAGTAAGCCAGAAAGAGAAAGAAAAATACCATATGAGATCGCTCATATGTGGAATCTAAAATAAAAAAGAAGAAGAAGATAATGAACTTAAATATAAAACAGAAACAGACTCACAGCCATACAATACAAACTTGTGGTTGCCAGAGGGGAGGGGAGTGGGAAGGGACAGACTGGGAGTTTGAGATTTGTAGATACTGGCAGGTATATATAGAATAGATAAACAAGTTTATACTGCATAGCACAGAGAAGTACATACAAGATCTTGTAGTAGCTCATGGTGAAAAAGAATATGAAGAATACATGTATATTCATGTATGACTGAAAAATTGTGCTGTACACCAGAAATTGACATGACATTGTAAACTGACTATAACTCAATTTAAAAAAAAAAGTAATGGGCTAGGAACTGAGAGATCCAGAAATATGAGAGATTCTTCTTAAGGGTAAAAAAAAAAAAGTCCTTAAATTGGACAGTAAAATACAGGTTTCTAATTCTTCCAAATGAGAAGAGAAATACTGTGTGGCTTGCATTGTATTGCCTTAATGAATGCTAAGGGCAAGCCTATTTGAAAGAAAACAGTGCTGAATTTCAGCCAATTAAAATGTGGATATATCTTATTATTACTGTTATGGTTATTATGTCTCATTCTAAGTCCGTGAGGATTCTCAAGAGGGACAATCGCTAGACGTGCTCTTTACTGTGTGACATGACACTCTTCCTTTTCTGCTTAGATTTCAGAGACAGCAACCAGTCTGTGTATCTGTTGTTTTCCCTTGCTGTTCTAGACTAACCAATGTTAACAGAAGTCTTTGTCAATAACCTTTCCTCTGGAGAAGGAAACGTGTTTCTACAGCATGTCTTCGCAAGTAGAACTTGAAACACTGCCATTTCTGACCTTACAGAGACCATGTCTATTTTTAAAAAGCCCAGTGGGTTCCAAAGTCCATGGCCAGACCTGAGAAGACCCTCCTCCGAATTTGAGGAGAGTTCCTTCTGTGAGTGCATAGGACTCGCTTCATTATCCATTCATAACTCCATCCAGTGTAGAGTTAAATTCCCTTTCTCTACCCTTTGGTTTTTCTCTCCTTTCCTGGACCTCCTCTTTCTTCTCATTCCCCCAAATACACAAATGACACAAGGCGTGAGGGACTTTAGGAAGGGTCTGAAGCCAAGAGACACTAGTCAAGAGGAAAAACTACTGAAAAATAGTTTTCTCTTCTCCAGGAATAGATGGAGAAATGTTTTTCAAGTTCAAGATTCCAAGTTCCAATCACATATCCACTATATATTTTTTTAAGCGTTGTGACTCTTTTCCAGTCTCTTCACTGATTCAAAAATCCATTTTCACACCTGTAATGGGAGCTCATAAAACTCTGCCTACTTTGTAAGGTCCTTGTGAGAATCAAATGATAATGCATAAAAGTCACAGAGCAGTACATACACGCAAAACAATACATTGTTATTGGCTAAACTCAAAAAATAAAGAGCACCCCTTTTGTGATCATGTGTAATCCAGCAGCAGAAAGACCTATGGAAAAACAATGAAGCAGATTTATTCAGGTATGGAAATTAATCACGGTCCTGACATTTTGGCCAAATCTAACATCCATGGTTACCTGTCTCCGAGAGCAGTTTCGTAGCTTCCAGCACCTTCTCAGTGTAAACGCCGGCTTCGTAGTTCTCCATCTCCGCATTGATGATGTGTATCACGCGAGCAGCCCGGCCCCTGATGGCCCCCGCGGTCCTGTCCAGGGTGTCCACGTCACCCTCCTGAAGGGCGATCACACACTTGTTCACATCCTCCAAGATGTGGTTTTCTGTGGAGAGGACGCACACACAATTTGTATGACTTTACCCCACTCACACACTTAAAAACCAATCGAAGGGTCATTAACCCTCATAAGCCGTCCCCTCACACATCTGAAGACATGCCTAATAGCACGGAAATTGTATTTTTAAACTGTACTTTGTAGTTACAATACTGGTTCTCAAACTTGAACGTCAACTGGAGGACTTGCAACGTCATAGAAACTGCTGGTCTCCACTTCCAGGGTTTCTGATTCACTGGGTCTGGGGCCCAAGAAATTGCATTTCTACCAAGTTCCCAGGTGATGCTAATACTGCCAGTTTGGGGAACCACATATTGAGAAGCACTAAATTAAAAAACAACCCCTTTCTTTGCTTCAATGTTTCAGATTTATTGCATGAAAAAGTCTTTTAAGAATGATTGTAGAGACGAACAGGAAGCCACACTGACAAAGCAGAAATGTTTCTAGACATGGCCAGAGTCACACTTTGGCTGATGTTAGTTGGATCCTGTTTTTTTATTAAGGAAGCATTTAAGGGAAACTGTAAAATGAACACACATCAGCCCATCAGTCTTCTAATACCATGTCATGCACACGGTATATGCAATGGGAAACTGGTCAGGTGAAGAGGGTCGCAGAGTTCCTCACAACTGAAATGCAGTCCATTCTGCAGCTGGTTCCCTCAGACTGGAGTCAAGGTCAGGGACCACGCTCCACCGTTGTCCAAAGTAGAATCCAAGTAGGCAAGGTGAGAGGCTTCCCTCTCCACCAGCCTAGAGAAAACATACAGTCTGGCCCCTCACAGCTTTGCAAGTATGCCATTTTGTCTTTCTCATGTCCAATGTGAGATCTGTGATTATGTCCCTTAACCATTCTTTAGAGGTAGCATTCTAAGGAAATGTTCAAAAAGTTTAGTGCTCTGAAGAAAGAAAAGAACTAAAGCTGAAAATACACACATGTGTGTGCACCCCCCCACCCCCACTAATAAACAGAACCAATTTGGAAGTAGTCTTAAGTAATCCAGTAACACGTAAGAAATTATAAATACCAAAGTCAATGAACACTTAATAAAGGATTAAAAGAAATGACTACCCTTTTAAGAAGTTTCCAGAGCTAGTTCTGATTTTTAAATTCCTAAGGAAAGAGAGCTGGGAGGATACTCTCAGCAAATCCCAGTCCCTGCGCATCTCTCCTACTTACATTAAACCAACCACTCAGAGGGAACGTTCGTTCTTAGAGGACACTGGAAAGAAAATTGCAAAGTATAACAGATGTTCCTTAAAGGACCCCAGACAATACGATTTCCTCACTCAACTATTTATCCATTTCTGATTCCTTCCTCCTCTAGGTCTTTCATTTCAAATAGATATTAGAATAGAAAAAAATAAACGGAATGTTTACATGTTAATATTTCGTTCTCTTAAATTCACAAGAAGTGGTACTTTCTGAACGCTGATATTGTTCTGAGTAAAAGAGAAAAACGGTTGTGAAAACAGAGACTTGGAAGTTTTCATTTTTACTAAGGAACTTTTGGAAAGCACCCCTTTGCGAGGTCTTGGACTGGATCACGCAAACTCACCTAAAAGAGCACCTGAGAGAAAAAGGGTTTATGCAAATGAAACGGCACAGGATTTTAAATACAAAATTTTAATTTCAGTAGGGCTCCCTAGGGGAGAGGGGGTAGCTCAGTGGTAGTGTGTGCCTAGCGTGCACAATGTCCTGGGTTCAATCTCTGGTACTACCACCAAAAAAAAAATTAATTAAATTAATAAATTAACAAACCAATAGGACTCCCTTACTGCCCTGCTGTGTTCCTCCAGACAATAAAATAATCCCTGGTCCCTGAAACTGAGCAACCGGAAAGGTCTTCACATCAAAAGCAGGCAACCAAATGCCGTTTTCTCTGAATAACAAAATGTAAGAATAGGCAGGGCTCGCACTTTGCCGTGCATAGTTTAAAAAGATGGGATTTTGGAACTGAATGCAAAACAAGAGGAATGTGCTCATGATCTTAGATACTAATGTCTCTGGAGTTAACAAAATTTAAAATTTAAGAAGCCAATGTGCGACCTAATATCTTAAAACAAAATGATAGTTTTTTAAAAACTCTTTCCCAAATTTAAATGTGCAACTAATTTAATAAGAAAGCAAGAAAAAGAATATGCTTTGATAGATGTGATGCCAGTTGACCCTTGAATAACAGGAGTTTGAAGTGTGCTGGTCCTCTTATATGCAGATTTTTTCAAAGGTAAATACCTCAATACTGTGGAGCCCAGTTAAATCCACAGATGAACCTCGGGTAAGTAGGGCTGACTGTAGAGTTACATGCAGATTTTCGACTGTGTAAAGAAATGTCAGTGCCCCTCACCTCCAAGTTTTTCAAGGGTCAATGGAAACATATTTGAAGGAGGCCGTGATATTAATAGCATTGCTTTTAATCAAATTGTCAACTAATATCTTCAATGGTTATTCAGGTTGATCATCAGTGAATAAAGTATTAATTTGACTAATTTACAGTTTACTCACTGACTCAGTTTTCTGAATCAACTTTTTCTTTTGAAATGTTGAGCTAGTTTACTCAGCCTTTCCCAGCTTTCCCCAATTAGAGGTACCCCTTTCACAAAAAAAAGGAATCAAAATTCCCTCATGACAGTAGTTATACCAATGGTTAGTATATATATGTAAAAGCCACTACGATCAAGAATGTTTTTACATAGATTTGCATTTTATTAACCTAAGTGCCAACAATGTAGTTGAAAAAGAGCTAGACCTGTTTTTGTAGACATATTATTTGAGCACAAGATCACACTTGGTATGTATATGTGAGGTGGGAAGCCCCATGAAAAGACTGGCAGGACCCCCAGCCAGGGCCACTACTTTCCCACTGGTGCCATTATCTAGTTTTTTTTTTTTGCTTCTGTAAAACAGCTTGCTTCTAGGAAAGCGGAACTTACCCCGAAGAGTCTATTGGTTCCCAAAGCTCACTCCTGATTGGCCCATTTCTATCACTCCTGAATGGTCCATTTCTAACACCTCATTTGCATAAAGCTCATTCTTGATTGGTCCACTTTGTTATACCTTATTTGCATACGATGTTGCAAAATGTTGCAAAGTCTTGACTGGTACCCTATAAAAGCCTGTGTAAACCTACAGATGGGGTCCAGAGCTTGGAGTGTTAACTCTTCTGGGCCCACTGGCATAATAAACCTGAGTTCTCCAACCCTCCGAGTGCTACTTGGTCTCTCGCAAGCATCTAGGTTGCTGTCACACTGAGCTGTCACACTGAGCTGTATGTAACACACTTTGACATATGGATTCCTAGACCCCTTGTAATAACTTCTCCACTCCTGGTCTCTACACTCTGAGGTCTGGGGCTTACAGGTTTAGAAGCGCTCTGGTCTCCTATCTAGCAAAAAGGGCAGCATATAATTTGAAGGCAGAATCCACACTGGATTCATACTTTCATATCTGACAGCACCTTACACACGGCAGAAAAATCAAAGAAGAAATTCTAAATAAACATGTCCATTGAAGAGGAATAATCAGCTATATATTTTTATCCTCGGGTATTCTCAAGAGAAAGAATTCATTAAATAAAGAGACAGGAATGCTGTTCTAAGTAGAAAATAACATAAATGAGAGAGTAATAATAAAAAGCATGTGTATTCCAGAGATGATTCCGTCTTTGGGATAAACCACTTAGATACTTTGGACGTGATGCCCAGATGTGAAGTCCAGTATTTAAACATCATAAAACATTTGACTGCAACGTTTTTTGTGATAAACTTCCTTGGATTTTTGCAACCTTACTATCTCATAAAAAAGATGCAGTTTTGTTAAAAAGTCACTGATGACCAAACTACTTAGTTGTTATAAGCTATAAAGCTATGGTTTTTAAATTCAGAAACAAAGTTCATTCTGTGAATTTTTTAAGGAAACTAACTCAAGACCCTGGAGTCAAAAAAAAAAAAAAAGGAAAAGGAAAAGGCAGACAAAACAAAATTTTTAGATATTATGGGATGGAGTTAATAGCTTTTTCAGATCTTAGATGCTTGCTATTTTCTGAGCCAAGCCCAAGATTAAACTGTCATGTGGCTAATGCCAAGATGCTCATTTTAAGACACTATTAAAAATTGTAGTTTCTGCCCACTGGGAAAACTTTAAGTGTTCTAACACAGCCGTTTCACATTTTTATGAGCCCAGACCACATCTGAAAATTGGATTTGCTCCTGTAATGTTAATAGCATCATCGCTCCCCAAACTTGTTGCATTTCATATGGACAAATTAAGGACTCAGACATACATGTTCAGGTAGCATGAAAAAAGAAAAAAAAGAAAGAAATTCTTTAAAAAAAAAACTTTTCTGTTTTTGTTTTCAAAATAGAGTTTCCTGCCAGAATAGATATTCCCTTAAGAAGAAACTGAGACATAAAATGTCATTAATGCCATTCCAAAATATCTCCTGGGCCAAACTTGCAATTTACTGATGCAAATGTTTTGGCTCCAGCTCAGAGCGGCGATGAGGAGTTTCCCCAACGATTGGTCCGTGTCCACGGTCTACCAGCAGGACGGAGTGGGCTGTGCCGTTATTTGTCAAGCCTGTCTGTGGAAAGGCGCCTGCCGCCTCTGACTGTCAACTCCAAAGGCATGCTTCGGCGGGCCCTGCCAAGGCTGGCTCCCTGACAGCGCCTGCTCATTTCCCCGTCATGCCATGCCATGGCACTTGTACCACTGGGGTTGGACGGCGCAGTGTTATCAGCGGAAGCCACAGCCACTTCTTGTTGCTGGTAATAATGAGATGCACAAAGGCACGGCAGGGAGAAAGATGGCAGAGAGGCAGGCCCGGTGGAAGAAAATTAAGAAAAGCTTTGTGCTATTGAAAGAGTCTGAGATAAGACGGCCTCACCTCTCTTTTCTCTACCCTTGGAAATTTTCCTACATGCATTTCAAGAAAAGGATGAATTGGGGAAGTTTTCAGTTCTGAGATGATTCTGCTTTGAAAAAGGTCCTATATGGGTGTTTTCTACTCATTTGTACACAGAAGGGCAAGACTAAGATTTCCAGGGGCTATTAGGATGGCTGTGTGAGAGGTGAGGCTGGTTAGAGAGTCCCCCTGCCCATTGCTGGGGACCCCTGTCACCATCCCAGCAAGGACTGACCACTTACTAGATGCCCAGTCCTGGCGGCCGTCCTTCTGTCTCTACCACCCGAATCTCCAGCAAGCCTATCCAGTTTCCAATCCCCTCATGAGAGATCCACTTCTCGGGTATCTTTTAAGTCGTTAGGACTCAAGCCATCAGGGAGGCGAGAGTCCCAACAATGGCACCGTCCTGAGATCTCCATCAGCCAATCCCTAGAAACGGGTGCGCTGAAAGGAACAGCTTCTTTGACAGGTCGTCAAAAAACCGAGCCCCTCGGGAGTGAAGAACAAGACAGGTTTCTGGAAGGGATGAGAGAGTGGAATGAAGGGGCCAGAGCAGGGCGGGGGACAAGGGAGCTGTCATGAAACCTGGAAGCAACGGAGGAAAATGCCCTTCTGTCTTGACTTACTGAGAACCATACTGATTTTGAAAAGACGATAATCTCGATTTTAAGAGCAACTCTGCCAAGTTATCTACCCTCTGAGTGATCTACTTTTCTCAAAGAAGACTCAGAACAGTGATGCCTATCTGACAGAACTTTGGTGAGAATTAAAGCAAACAGCAGAGGGTCAGGCAAATGAGACACTGAGCACCTGCTCCCTCATTGCTTCCCGTCTAGCTTGCCTTGCCCTCCATGATTTCAAAGTTGGCTTTTTCATCATCCATCAGGTCTACAGACAAGCTTTAAACACAGGCCCCCAGTGGGAATCCATTACCTGTTTTCTTCATGAAAATAAAGACTACAACCAGAAAAGTTTCCAAATAGATTAACCATCCCTGCAGAAACCCCATCCATGCCGTTGCAGCAAAAGGCCCTGTCTGCCTGGATCCCCCCAGCAGCCCTTCCCACTCAGGCCGGGGCACACTTGAGTTGGCAGGTGTGCATTCCATGCACCTGCAGGTAGAGTCAACACCTGGTCAATTTGAATTTTCAAGGGTCATTGGGTTATTTTAACGCCTCGCGAAGAGGTTGATGTTTCCAGCGACCTCCTCCCCAACTCCCCCAAAGAGACTCTTCTAGGTGAACTGGGCCAAATGTGTTTGGTCAAATGTGTCTGGAAGAAGGCCCATTAGCTGGCTGGTAGCCCAATGTTGAAACAGCATTGATGAGTCTGGTTAAAGGTCAAACTGACTACACCGTTATTCAAATGCACTATCATCTTTCGGTCTGGCTTCATTTATAAGGAAGAAAGTTCCAATTTCTTCTTTCTAAAAATTCATTAATTACTTAAAGTGAAGTGTAGTCAGTTACAATGTGTCAGTTTCTGGTGTGAAGCACAGTGTCCCAGTCATGCAGATATACACACATATATTTGCTTTCATATTCTTTTTCAATAAGGGTTGTTACAAGATATGGAACACAGTCCCCTGGGCTGCCTACTTCTGTTTACTCTCTCCCACTTCCTTAACACAGCCTTACGGACAAAGGCTCAAAGCCTCAGGAGCTACCAGGTGCCTTCAAATGGCTTCATTCTGTGGCTAACATTTCCTCCTGGCTTATCACAGATCTGGGTAACTGCACTTACTGGGGAAAAAACAAAACAAAACAAGAAAACCCTTTAACACAGCCAAATTGGAATAACTAGTTGATTTTTTGATATTTAAACATAACCAATCTCATATCCCATACCTTTTCAGATGGGCGATTCAGATGCATCAAAGGCCATTCTATTAAAAACAAAAAAAACAAAAAAACCTCCAGGAGCTAAAAAGGAACCTAAGTCTACTTAAATAATCTCTTCAGGTTTCTAACATCTTGATCGGAATGTTGTGTTCCCCCCCACCCCCGATGCTCGGACTCAGCGTCTCGAAATAACGTGCACAACAGAGAAGAATTTCAAGAGATTTCCATCGCATCTGCAGAGATGGCTGAAAGCTCAAAAGGGCAAGGAGAGCACTTGACACACAGACCCGTGACATCTGCAAGATGCTCCTCGTCCTGCTCTGCTCCCTCAGCTGCCTTGCAAAGGGCCCGTGCGTGATTACCTGAGACGGAGAGGAAGTCGTCCACCGAGGTGATGTCGTCCACGGCCTCCGTCAGCACTCGGACCTGCTTTTCCCACTGGTCTTTGAAGACGTCCATGTTGTCCTGAGCGACTTTGCTCTGCGGCCGGGCAGCCAGCGTGAGAGCAGCGTTGATGACCTGTTTGTTAGAAACAAGCCGGGGATGCGCTGACCACACTCTTTCGAGAGAGGAACAAGCAAGTATAAGACCTTGTTGAGACCCTGGTCCCTAAGCTTCTACAAAGAAGCCGGTTCTCAGCGTTCAGAAGGAACACAAACGATGCAGCAGGCTACGATCAGTTTTTGTTTGCTTTTCTTCTTCCTTTTTTAAGTTACAGTCATTAGCCTCAGCTTTCAAAAGCGTTTGCTGGACAAGTCTTACTTAGCACGGATGTGGCAGAAATGTAACTCCTGTTCTACACGTGCAGGTGTATAATTTGGCTGTTGAGCCCAGGTGCATAGATAAGGGAGCATTTGAATACCAGCCCAGAGCAAGCGGGACGAAGCCAATACGAGTGGGAGAGAGAAAAACTGCCGCAGAAAGCGAGAAGAGACCGGAGGAGGTCGCTCCTTCTGAGGAAGGCAGAACTTGAAACGGCCCGGGAGGGAGGGCAGCACCTCCCCGGGAGCGGCGAGAGGGCAGGACACCAGGCCCGGGGCGCGGTGGACCCCAAGGAGCCGGCCGCTGGACCGAAGCGAAGGAGGGGCTCACCTGGGGACACAGGCTGTCGATCTGCGTGGCCGCCATCCGAACCAGTTTCACCCCTTCCTCGTTGTTGGAGATGGAGCAGGCCAAATTGGCAACCTGCATCGAAGGGGATTTAAGTGAAAATCGCGCTGCAGCCACGGGGAACGCGCCCTGCCGCGGGGCCCTTCGCCGCCTCCCGGAAAGTCCGTTCGCAAACGCAGTGAGGGCGCCCTTCTGTGTGACAGCAAGAGTTACTGGGTCTTTTGTGAGTCAGCGTCTCTGCCCAAAGAACACGTGATCATTGCAAAGCATTGCTTCGGGATTCTCAAGCACACACGATTATCACAGTGATGCATTCTAACTGCGTTGCTCTGAACGCTTTTGCCCCATGGACCGCCCTGACCCACCCGCACACGCTCACTCGAACTCCCTAGGACTCATCACTGAGTGCACAACACCACGATTTTGGCCACGCCAAGACTAAACTCTGACCAGTGAGCGAGAGGCCACAGGTAATGCTTTGGATTTAAAAGAGACTCCTAGCAAACTGGAAAGCAGAGTCTGCTCCCCGAAAGAATCCGCGATCTGCCTGTCACCCTGTCACAGTCCGTCGGGAAGACGCCAGGCCAGGGTAGTCAACGCAAATGCTTGCAGGCAGATCTGAGAAGTGGGCAGAAAAGGCTCGCGTAGTCCACGAGGCCATGGGAGAGTGCACAGCAAATGAGAACGCGCAGGTCTCGTAAAAAGACATTCAGAAAACAATGCCATTTGCAGCAACACGGAGGGACCTGGAGATCGTCATTCTAAGTGAAGTCAGCCAGACAGAGAGGGAAAAACACCATATGAGATCGCTCGTATGTGGAATCTAAAAAAAAAGGCACCAATGAACTTCTTTACAAAGCAAAACAGAAACAGATGCACAGACATGGGAAACAAACTCATGGCTACCAGTGGGGAAACAGGGTGGGAAAGGTTAAACTGGGAGTTCGAGATCTGCAGATACACACTACTATATATAAAATAGATAAACAACAAGGTCCTACTGTAGCGCTCAGGGAACTATATTCAGTATCTTGTAGTAATCTATAAGGGCAAAGAATATATATATATGTATGTGTGTGCGTGACTGACACATTATGCTGTACACTAGAAACAGATACAACATTGTAAACTGACTGTACTTCAATTAAAAGCGAATCAATAAAGGCATTCAGATTTGACTTTTTTAAACATCCTATACCAGCCGAAACAGCTGAACTGAATTCAGCTTTCCAGATCAAGCATTTCAATGTGTGCTATTCCTTGTCTTCAAGGAGTGAGAACTGGTAACCCAGGGTCAGACTGACTGGCCAAGGTCAACAGCACACACAGCCAGCACCGAAAACACCGATCAGTGCCCTCAGGCTGGTGTCAGGAGGACAGGAGGGTGGGGACTAGAAAGGGCAAAGGAGAGGAGAGGGGCTGCCAGGCCAGGAGCAGGAGGGCAACGAGAGCAAGTGATTAGCAGAGGGTGGGGGCCGCTGCCGTTTTGAATCCGGCTCACGTCTGCCCTCCAAAACCAGATTACGTCCCTCCTCTGCCTCAGTGCCCTGAAATACTAAAATACACTACACGTGTGCAGAGTGCCTAGTGCAGAAGGAACCCCAGACAGTACGGAGCAGTAGGAAGGAGCGCAGAACTGGAGACCAGGAGGCTCAATCGCCAGCCACTTCTGTAAGTCACTTCCGGTTCGGAGCACTGTTTCCTTAGCAGGAGTTGGGTAGATGGGGAGACAAGGAATACTTTCAAAGACCACTTCAACAAATTCTAAGTGCAAGGGTCTTGTTTCGAGGCTTTTAAGGAAGAACACACTGTCTACTGCAGAGAGAACAGGTACTATGAGAAACCAGATGGAGTTCCAAAAATTACCACTTTGTTTCTTACATTTCCAAGTTTTCCTTTGATTCTTCAGCTAATTTTCACTATGTTACTTAATTTTCAAAGCGAAGGACAAAATATGCCTTCTTGTAGTCATTCAGAGACTATGAAATGCCCAGGGGTGTGAGACTCCTTGGAGGCAGAGCAAGAACTAATAATGCACGTTCTCAGTTTCTTTTTTATTATATCGTCTCCACTCTGAATTTTTATTAATTTTTGTTACATTTGTATTCCCATCTATTTTCTATTCCAGACCCCAGATTAAGTATAGGACATAGAATTGGTGCTCAGTTCCTGTTTAGTGAATTAAAGAATAGCTTTTTAAAATTGCATGTAATGATTTGGAATACATCATAGGTCAAAGAGACTCTCAGCGATAAAGTTGGCAGACCTTTGATTTGGCTAGACAAATTTTCACACTACTTTCTGGCAGATATTTACCAACACCATGGTGCGAAACAATGGTGCATCCATTGTGGTCCATTGTTTGAGTCCAGAATGTCATAATCCCTGTTCATGGTGCCTTGAGAGATCAGGATGGCGTGGTGAATTTTCCAGAAAGATATATGTATTTAATTTAAAACTCTGTCTTTTGGTCTCATGTTAACATTCTTCCCCTTTATGCTGTTGAACCACCTTTCTTTTTACAAAATGATGATTGCAGATGACGGTTTTGTTTGCTCTTTATCCTCTTTGCTTGCTGTGGGACAGACACTTGAGGTCACACTTGTGCGTAGCACTGAACCACTGCCAAAGGGCTTGGCATATGAGCCTATAAGGGCAACGACATGAAAACTTTAAAATGTTGCAGGGATCAGGTCTTGGGTAATATCTGCTTGCATCTTTGAAGGATGAAAAATAATAAAATACCACCATTCTCAGGGAGATAAGGCTCTAGACCAAGCAAGCATACAGGGCTGTTGACATAAAAAAATATTTATAAATAAGAAAGAGCAGCAGACATGGCGTATCTTTTGATGGAATGATGTAACACTACCTGTGAAATGTTCTTGCCGAACCAACAACAACAGTGACAAAAGCAAAACCTGGAAATAAACAGCCTTAGGATCAAGTCTCAATTTCCAGAAAATTCAAGAGACAAACATGCCAAATGAAACGTCACAGATGAGGTCAGGAAGACCGTGACGGCGACAACCAGTGGGAAAAAAGTCAGAGCTCTTTGGAACCCGAATAGAACAAAGAAACTGTTACACCGGCAGCTATAAATATGGCAACGAATTAATGTATATAAATAAAAGTACACTGTGAAACAAGTAAATCTAACTGTTGACTATGTGATGATATGAAGGAGTTAATATTATAAAGCATGCGAGTAATACTTCAGTTATTTTAATTAATATCCACAGCTTTTAGATATATTTATCTCTAGATGCGGGTGAGATGCTATGTGATTTCCCCATGTGACGTTACCTCCGTGACAACCTCTGATGGTTCATTATCCATGCCGTCCTTTTGGATATGATTGACATTTTCCGTAACAAAGTTTTTTTTTAAGTAGTAACTACATTCTATTATATAACCAGCCCTGGTAAAATACTTTCCTGCACTTGTCTGAGTCTCCAGGGAGCCCAGGACAAGTCAGGGAGAAGCTTGAGTGTGATCTGGGGCTAAGGCCTGCGGACAACAGAAGAGTTCCAGCTGAGCACAGAAGGGGATACTGTCATGGGTGAGTGGGGGGAGGCTACAGCTCAGGGGTAGAGCACGTGCTTAGCATGCATGGGGTCCTGGGTTCAAGCCCCAGTACCCCCATTAAAAATAAAAGCCAACGACCAAGCCGCAGAGGTGGCCCTCCAGACCACACACGCTAGTCCAAGGTCCCCAGGCAGGAGCTGATCCTGGAAACGTTGGGCCTGAGAAGAACTGGACTCTTGTGTCAGGGAGACGCCAAACAATAACTTCCACACCGATCAAAACAAAAACAAACACAAACACAAACAAAAAGCAACTTTCCCTTGTGCATCTTTTGCAATGCTGCTTCACCTTCGCTCCACAAACTCTCTTACGGCGTGGATCTGATGTGGGAGCGCACCACTGCCCAACAGTCTTCGCAGGGGGAACAGTGCTCGCAAAGCAAACAGCTGGAAACTCCCATTAGTTCTTCAATCATTTGTTCTCTTTAATTTCCTGACCCACAGATCCCGAAGTCTGGCAGCCTCCACTCTGCACTGTACTCCTGCTGTTTAAGTCCACTTAAAAAAAAAACACCAGAATTTCATTTCCCTCGGATCGTATTTTAAAGCATTCTGACAATGTTTCCAGTAGGACGCTAAGATGTCACTATCTCCAAAGGCAGGCTCGTGTATTTTAAACTGGTCGTGGACGCAATCCAAATTGCTATCTGCCTTATATTCCTCTGGCTTGTCTCTGCCCTCCTCGCTGGACCCACTGACATCGTGCTGACTCTGAACGTGGTTTTATGTATGGTTATTTTGGGAGCTCTGGCAGGCAATGCTAAATCTCAGTCTAGAGGCAGCTCCCAATCAGCAGTGCAGCTTGAAACGCCAGCGAACATTTCCATGCCAGTCCAAGACTGCCGCACACAGCAGGCGCTTAATAATTGATTTCAATGACGTGTTCTTTCACTACAGCTCTTATGTGATGATGTCAGAAACTCTCTGGTAAAATACAATGTCCTATTTTTCAAATCACAGTATTTTCTCCTGTTTTTTTAAAAACCAATCTAGCATGACAGTCCTCCTAATGTGGGGTGGGGGGCGGGGCGTGGAAGTGGCAGATTAGAATCTTTAGACATTTGAAAAGAATTAATCGAGCAATAGATCATGAACAGATTAGTGTCCCCAGGCTGCGAACCAAAAGATGCTGAGCGACATGATTATCATTACTGGAATTTTGAAACCTGCTTGCATCAACTGGGCCAGTAACATTTTGATGGGCTGGCTTTCGCCTCTGCTTTCTTCACTCCTGAATGGTTTGCAACTTGCAACAAGGGACATTTGCCTTCCTGGAAGCTTAGAAAACAATAAAGTATCTCATTAACTATGAAATGTCGGGCTATTTCGATTGGTTTGAGATTTTTCCAAAGAGAGTAAGCCACGAGTCAAGGTGGCGCGGGTCCCCGGTGAGCTAACCGCACGGAATTCCCAACCACGCCCTGGGCGAAAGGAAGCCTTGCTCCGGGACTTCCGCGAGCGAAAGGGACTGGAGGGAGTCAAAGCTGG